ATACAACAAAGATTGTGAGGATGGTGCAGGATCAGGCAGTGTTTCGTTCTATTGTACACAGGTTCTCTGTGAGTCAGAGCCAACTGGACGGCACCTAACAACAAGTGCTACATAGGTTCTACGTGCCATGTCTATTCTAGGTACTGTACGAGGGCTTTTCATTTAATATTTATAATTACCCTAGACATAGATAGTATTACCATTGCCAACTCTTGTGCAAATTTCAAAAAATGAGACAGAAGTTCAGTGACTGCTCCAGGGTTACACACTAGGAAGTGACAGAGCTGGGACTTGAACCTCAGCACTCTGGTGAGAGAATCTGCGTCCTAACCCCTGCCCTATGTTATTTTTATTGTTGTTTGAGCCCGTTGTTGCAGCCACTGTGTCAGTCCATCTTGTTGAGGGTCTTCCCAATGTTGGTTCCACTTAGACCTACTGAAATTACAACCTTGCTCATCAAACACTAAAATAACGTCCATCCCTGCCGATAAAAGATGTCTGCTCTGAGCTCCTCTGATCTGATTCTGTCTCATGAGGTTTCTGAGTTGAAAATGACTTGATGGTATGAAACAACATGAGAATATTTTTACTACTGATTTATTGTTGTTGTTAGGTACTGGTGAGTCACTTTCGACCCAGAGTGACTCTATTTACAAGAGAATGAAATTGCCCGGTACCATGCATCCTCACAATCATTGTCATGGTTGAGCCCATCATCAGAACCACTGGATCAATCCATCTTATTGAGGGTCTTCCCTTTTTCACTAACCCACCACTTTACATAACTCATTGCCATTGAGTCGGATCCGACTCATAGTGACCCCTCCTTGGGTTTCCGACTTGGTATCACTGCAGAAGTAGATTGCCCAATCTTCCTTCCAAGGAGTGGCTGGTGGGTTTGAACAGCCAGCCTCTGGTTAGCAGTCAAGTGCTTGGGCACTATGTCACCAGAGCTCCTGCACTTCATGTAGCATAATATATTTCTCCAGGGACTGGTCCTTTCTGATAATATGACCAAAATAGGACAGATGAAGTCTGGTCATTCTCCTTTCTAAGGAGCATTCCAGCTTTACATCCTCCAAGACAGATCTGTTCATTCTTCTAGCAGTACATGGGACCTTTAATATTTTTTGCCAACACCATAATTCAGATGCAACAATTTCTCTTCCTTATTCATTCTTGTTCAATTCTTAATCCTTATTCATTGTCCAGCTCTCACACACATATGAAGCTATTGAAAATACCATGGCTCGGGTCAGGTACACTTTAGTCTTTAAAATGACATCTTTGCTCTTAAACTCTTTAGAGAGATATTTTGGTGCAGATTTGCTCGATGCAATATGTAGTTTGATTTCTTGATTGCTGCTTCCATGGGTGTTGTCTGTGGATCCAAAGCAATGAAACCCTTGACAACTTCAGTCTTTTCTCCATTTATCATGATGTTGCTTAGTGGTCCGGGTGTGAGGATTTTTGTTTTCTTTCTGGTGAGGTGCAGTCCATACTGACGGTGATCACTGGTTATTCCAGGACACTAGCAACGCAGTACTGCACTCATGTATGAAATTTTTTCTGTAGGAAGGCTGCTTGTTTTCCCATAAGATGGCTTCCCAAATTCTACTTTAGTAACTCTTACCACCTTGATCTATCTCCTCTTTGAAACACATTTAGCAGTTTCAGCATCAAACCTGTCTGAGAGGCTGTGCTTAATAAATGTTGTCAACACTTGTCACAATCAAAGGAAAACCCCAGGGAAGCACCTTCAGCATTACCCATTAAGAACCCTTTAGAAGGCTGCACCGTATCCTGATAGCAGTTTTTAATGGTAATTTGAGCTCATTGTAATAAATACATGAGCTTCATGTCACTGCAGTCTCTGCCTCATTATATAACAGCAGTTGTTCTACTTCTCTAGAGACCAAAGGTAACATCTTTGCAAATACTCTGAAAATTCCATCCCATCCCAAAGGCTTGGAAACAGATTGTGCTGTGCTGTCAAGTCACCCATTGGAAGTTCTCATCCATGTTAGGTGGTTTAAGAAATAAACCTTCCCTACATATGTGATGAGGAGCTCAGGTGGCATAGTGCCTAAGGCATTTGACTGCTAACCAGAAGGATGGTGGTTCAAACCCACCAGCCACTCTTTGGAAGGAAGAGTGGGCAATCTACTTCCATAGAGATACCACCTCAGAAACCCAAGGAGGGGTCACTGTGAGTCAGAATTGACTTGATGGCAGTGAGTTTTTTTGGTTACATATGCAATAAGTTGGAATTGACTCAATGGCAGTGGGGGCTTTGGGGGGGTTTACATAAGCTTTTGGATATTAGACATCAGTAGGTTGATTTATAATGTACTTCTGTAGACTGAATCCTGGTGCAGTGGAGTTGCATCACACTTGTCGTTAAGTAATGCACTTCTTTTAGTCCTACCATATGACTCTGCAGCCTCATTGAATTCTTAACACAATAAATGAATACACACACACACACACACATACACACACATGAATGCTTTGGAGCTTAGCTTTATAACAAATGGAGTAAGCCCTGCAGACAAGGAAGAACACTTTTAATTCTCATATTCACCTTCATTAACAATTAGGATCTCACTGTCATCTTAAAGGCTGAGGACTTTCATAGCAGGTCGACTTGTCATTTCTTCCTTCCACTAGATGTGGTCACAAGTTCTCAGACTTCTGGGTGCATAAAAAATTGTATAGGAGATTGTTTGCCTAAAGTCATATACTATGTGCTTTCTGGGCAAATAAGGAACTCTCAGGGGGTCATCTTTTACTTTTTTCTATTTTCAGCTGGCCTCCTAATTTCAGACCCAATCAGCTTGGCCCATGTTAGATGTGGCACCCCTCTAGAGTGGTCAGAGATTGTTGAGGTGCAATTTCTACTATGTTTTTATATCAGGACAAGCATCCTGAGATCTATCTCAGCCTTACTTCTCAGCCTCCTTCATTCCTACTCCTTGGTTCGCTAACCTTGTGAAAAGATTTGAGAGGTGGACTAACACTGGCCATGACTTGTGGGATGGCCTAGATGGAAGATATCTACCAGCTCACCTGAGATGTTTAGAGGATGCAGTACAAAACACATAGCTATGTAAACCCCATCACCTCTCTTTCAGAACTTCACACACAGGACTTTGATTGACTCCTAGAAGCAGTAATTTATGAATATATGAGTAATATGATTTCCTTGACTCATGGGCCAAGTTCTTCCAGGTGAAGAGTACCTTGGTCTATATTATCTTCCACCTATAATCAGTTTTGGAACCTAACAACGAAACGTATTTTTACCTGCAAGTAAAAGTTATACAGCCCTTTGGCCAAAAACCCTCTGATACTTAGAGAATATTGAGAGAAATATCTGCAGCTGGGTTTGAGATGGCATTACACCAAAATGGCAGCTTAAGACATTATCATCCCTATATTGTAGGAAACCTGTACAAGTGGGTCTGAAAACACAGACCTTTTATATTTTGCAGGGGACTTCAGAGCTGGGAGGGCATACAGACTCTAGTGTAAACATTTTGAGATATTGAGACCCAGTTGGACTCGATGGCTTCCCCCTGGCCATGGAGCTAAGGAGTGATAGCCAGTGTCTGGACCAAGTTACTTTCTTTTCCTTTTTAAACTGTCTCTCCTCGGTCAAGCCAAGAGTCCATGCAGGTGCTACAGTTCTTTCATTTAAGTTAGGTTCATTCTAGTCCTCAAAGCTCAGAAAATCATATGTGAAAATTTAAAACACAACTGATTTCACTTGCACTGTTCCATGCAGTTTTTGCTGGAATCTATGATGTGTTGCCTACCACCATCAGTCATCATAATAACCAAGAGTCATTCGTGGTAATTAAGAATGGAAGTGCTAATAGATGATAATCAAGCACTATTTGACAGATGGCTCGTTGGGATGCAATGAGAAAGAACAAACTCAGAACTTAAATACAAGGGTTATATTTTAGTTTGAAATATGTTATGTAGTTGATTGTGTAATTGGTGCTCCTTTTCAGAGAAAATTTGAGTTGAAAATTATGTGCCAAACTATTCGTATTCCAAAAAGGCATTTTTAAGGAGTCGTACGCTTACATGGTCAACTACAATGAAAACAATAGAAGGTATAGCCTTGAAATCTAGTTATACATCTCAATTCTAAATTATTTTATTTTTAGAAGAAAAATATACAGAAATTTTTGAAAGATTCAGGGGGCTTTGGTATTTAAATTGCATTTGATCTTAAATCTCAAGTCTTACTATGAAAATCAATTTGGCAATGACCTCAATTTCTTACCGTTTCTGGAGGATATCGAAGTAAATTTAAATCTTCTAAAATATGAATACATTCCTGTACATTGTTACAGGAGCCCTGGTGGCACAGTGGTTAAGCACTCAGCTGCGAACCAAAAGATCAGCAGTTTGAACCCATCAGCCACTTGGTGGGAGAAAGATGAGGTAGTCTGCTTCCATAAAAATTTACAGCCTTGGAAACTGTGGAGCAGTTTTACTCTGTCCTCTAGGGGTGCTGTGAGTCAGAATGAACTTAACAGCAGTGGGTTTGGTTTGGGCTTTGCATCTGTAAAGACTACAGCCTTGGAACTCCTGTGGGGCAGTTCTTCTCTGTCCTATAGGATCCCTATGAGTTGGAATTGACTCGACAGCAGTGAGTTTGTTTTTGGGTATTGAATGAGGTGAGTCAAGGTGGCACCTGAAAATACCTCTTTTGCGTTTTAAATCTGCTTGCTTGAAAAAAAGATGCTAACGCTGCTAGAAGTCAGACAGATGCAGTTGTGTCCAGCTAAGCAATGTGGAAGACACCGGCTTGCAGTTTTATGTTCATAATAGGATAGTCCATGGTGGTTCCACAGATTACAAAGGTGAACCTAACAAACAAATGTCAATGTCAGCAGGAGGACTGGCAGTGCTTAATGCGACCCACAACGGCGAAGTTTAATAAACCACAGAGTTTCCTTCCTTCTTCATTTCTGAGTACAGAGATGACTCACTGGCATGTGTTCTCTTTTGTGTTTTGGGGTACAACCAGCAGCGTGGAGTCCCCCCTGATGTGTGACGGTTCGGAGCCGCAGCCGGGCAGCGGCAGCAGCAGCTCCGGGGGCAGCTTGTGTAGCTCCATCACGGCGTGTAAGAAGGTAACCTTGCCTCGTACAATTTTCTTCTTGCAGGTGAACTTCAACATTAATTCAGGTTGACCTTTCCAGCACTTTTTCTGAAGCAGAAACAAGAACATAAGAAACAGCGAAATGGCCCCATAATTCACCTGTCCAGATAAGCCTGGATGGTTTTTAAAAAACATATAATTCATGCAAATGCTAAGAAAACTCAAGCAGTTCAGGAAAGTGTAATGCAAACTTTATAATCCTTGTTCCCAAACCAGCTCAACCCCAACCTCCTCCTCAGTCCCTCTTCCCAGACTTAACCGTGGGCAACTGCTTTTAGAAAACTTATCACAGGTTTTGAGTGACTTGATTTATTATGTTAAGTCCCTCTGTCTGCATCTAAGAAAAACACGTGACCCCTTTTTAATATTTTCCGAAAAAGAACAATGTCTTGGCTTATGGTTTTAGGAGAGACAGAATTGCTTTGCCTAGGATATAGAGATGATTTTAAAAAATCTCCTTTAAGACACTTGCAGAAAGTTGTCATTCCAACCACATACATCTGATTTAACCATCTCACTTTGCCAGCAAATCCAACTAAGATCCCAAAACATAAAGCAAAACACTTGAGGTCTGCATTCTTGGCCTTCTGCTTCTATCACTATTTAATGCTGAGCTCCAGAAGAGCATGTGTGGAGTGCTTTGTTGAGTGTGAAAAATAATTTTTAAAAAATCTTAGAAATCAAGATAAATTCTCTAACTAAACATTATATTACATATCTGCGTGTGTGTATATATAGGCAATTATATACATATATATATGTATGTATTTATATACATAACAAACCCACTGCCATTGAGTCTGATTCCCACTCATAGCAACCCCCATTGGATTTCCGAGGTGGTAAATCTTTACAGAAGTAGATTGCCCATCTTTCTTCTGCAGAGTGGCTGGTGGGTTTGAACCACCAACCTTCTGGCTAGCAGTCAAAGGCCTTAGGCACTGTGCCACCAGAGCTTCTATATATGTGCATGTGTGTGTATCATGTATGTGTATATACACACACATACACACACATATATAAATTATTTGTTCCTTGCTATGACTTTGTATAAGTTCCTTGTTTTTAAGTACTGAAGAAATTGACAAATAACCTACACAGGAGAATATATATTTATTATAGAAAAGTAGTATTAATCAGAATTTTACAAAGGTATTTGCATGCATACATTCATCACCAAATGTAAAAATATGCTGGTCTTATTAATTAAGGGTTCTTACTATCATGTGCTATATAAGCTATTCTTGTTTTTGTTTTTATAACATTTTTATAGAGGATTTGATGCTATAAATTCCAGTTTTCATTGTAGAAAACTGACGAACAATAATTCAAAGTGATTTTGAGTTACTTAAAAAAGATCGACAACTCCAGGTCTCCAAGCCCTAGGTATATTCTATTCAACTCTGTAACTCCAAATTATAAAGTTATTAGCAGGAACTGTACATTTCATAAGGACAAATGATTTTTAATTCATTCTATTTTTTATTTTATGTATATTCCTATTGATTAGAGTCAGTGTGGTATAGCATTTCAAAGAATTGAAGCCAGAATGCCTGACATTAACACCCAGTTCTAGCAGATCTTCTCGTACTATCTGTGTGTTCTGTACTGAAGAGGTAAAAAGGACAAGGAGCAGTTCTGTACTGAAGAGGTAAAAAGGACAAGGAGCAGTTATATCTAAACCTGTATCTGAATAGCAAGGCTGAATAGTTCAGCTGAATCACCTTTCTTCATAGGCAATCAGCCTTCAGTAAGAGTAACATGGATAATTGAAATCTATTGGTAATTCCCCAAACTCATTTCATGTAATAGCTTCATCTTCATCCCATCAAATCTCTTTATCAAAACTGGCATATTGCTAAATTATCTGGTGAAAGAAATAAAGCAAGGATCCAGAAGATAATGCATAAATTGGATAATCAGCATCTGATAAATTACAAATTGATGGAATTTCTTTCATGTGTTTCAGAGTAAATCTCTAAGCATTTCAGGAATCCTGTCCAGGAGTAATTGCTTCAGTTCCTCTTTCCTGCAGGGGAAATATGGTCTTGGGAAGCCACAGCCGTGTAAAAGCAATAGTGTCAGGAAAGATATTTTGATGGGCTTATTCAAAGGAGGAAGTACCTTATATATCTATCTCTGTCTCTATCTTGGGAGCTCTGGTGGCATAGTGCCTAAGGCATTTGACTGCTAACTAGAAGGCTGGCAGTTAAAACCCACCAGCCACTCCTCGGAAAAAAAAATTTTGCCTGTCCCTATCTATATCTGTACCACGGCACTGAAGAACTGGGCCTGCCAGAGCTAAGATGAGCCTTGGTAGTACAATGGTAACTGAAAGGTTGGCTGTTCAAGCCCATGAACCCACCCAGTAAGCTCCTAGCGACAAAGATCAGGCAATATGCTCCCTTAAAGACTATAGCCCAGAAAATGTGTGGGACAGTTCCATTCTGTCACTTGGGGTCACCACGAGTGCAGATTGATGAAGACACCTAACAACGAGATGACCACTCAGTCATAGGTTATAGCTATTGTCCTGGCATTTTGTTAATACCATACCTTCCCTATTGCTCTCAAAAGAAGCCCTGGTGGCACAATGGTTAAGTGTCATGGCTGCTTACTGTAAAGGTCAGCAGTTTGAACCCACCAGATGCTCCATGGAAGAAAGAGGTGGCTGTCCGCTTCCGTAAAGATTGACAGCCTTGGCAACCCCTTGGGGCAGTTCTGTAGTGTCCTGGAGTCGGAAATGACTGAAGGTGATGGGTTTGGGTTTGGTTTTATTGCTCTCAGAAGTGCTATGCTGTGCACAATAAATTATGTAGTCATTCTAGCACTAGCTTCAGTGCTGTCTTTTCTCCTGTTTTTCTAAGAGCTAGGGAAATTCTCGGGAGCTCTGGTAGCATAGTGGCTAAAGCACTTGACTGCTAACCAGAAAGCTGGTGGTTCAAACCCACCAGCCACTCCTCGGAAGGAAGGTTGGGCAATCCTACTTCTGTAGTGATACTGCCTCGGAAACCCAAGGAGGGGTCGCTATGAGTCAGGGCTGACTCGACGGCACATAACAACAACAACAACAAGGGAAATTCTCAGATCAATTTATTTGTTAGTGATTGTGCATCAGTCAAGAAATCAGTGTGCTTCCTATTACTTATTCTACCCCCTTCCCTTAGCCCTTTCATGACCCAAATATTTCCCACTTTGAATTTTTTGGTTGATACCATGTGTTTTCATTAATGGAAAACATCTGAATCTGGAAGAATTTCTGAAATTTTGCTATGAAATATACATTTGGATTCACATTATGTGGGACACATATGTCTCTCTGGATTCTGGGGGTAAGTGGGACACACTTATTACTCTGGACTGGAGGTAAAATTATGTGGGACACATATGTCCCTCTAGACCCAGAGGGTAGGGTTAAATGGGACTCTAGACTCTGGGTGTAGGATTATCTGGGATATGTTTGTTCCTCTGGACTCTGCACAACCTTCTAGAGCCTTTGACACATGCATACAATTTAGGGCACTTGAAAAGCAGCATTTGCATGAACAGAATCATAACGAGAAGGCAACTTCCAGATAATGCACAGGAACCTGGAAATATAAGGCCTATCTCCCACTAAAAAAGCCAAAAGAGATGCAGTTTTGCAAAATCCCCCCTCTAGGCTGCATCGCTCTGTAAAAAAAGCAATTTGTGGTGCATGCCCATTTCTCCCGTTTCAGTTATACAGATCCTTCCCCCACCCTACCCCCAAGGTTGGATGCAGTGTAGTGGGAAATCAGCTACCCAGTAAACCCCAGAGGAAGAAAATGAAGATGGGCAGCATATGCCCTGTGGGTGATGAAAGGGTTAACTGACATTGAAAATTGATTCTCTGAAACCTGAACATGACCTTAAACTTCTGTTTACCACAGAACTCTAAGCAGACACTACTAATCCATCAAAGTTGAAATGCGAGATAACTTATGTATCATCCCTCATTTAATAAAGAGCACAGCGTTCTATGGGCAATCTTAATGCATACAGCGTGACTCTCCAAAGTCATGCATTTCCAGTGAGGGAATTCCAGTATACTAAAGGAGCAATGGGAAAGAAAGGGTTGCTGGTGGACAGGGGACACTCGAGTTACTCCTCTGCGATCCTTTGGAATCTATATTGAATAGACATTGAATTGAATCTTATTGGACTGGTCCTTCTTATAACACAAATTTAACCACCATTGTTAAACTGAATAGTAGGCATTTTTCCATTAAATGAACTAAATAATGATATCTGTTATCCTTCCAGATCTATTAAACATTAAATGGAAGATCTTTTTACTCCTTATCAAAATCTCTTGTATCTTAGGAGGCAATGAGGTGTTGTGTAACAAACCTGGATGTGGAATTCAATGACATGAGTGAGATACCAGCCTTCTCGTATTACTGTGTGATCTTAGGCCAGTTATGCAACATCTTTAGCTCACTTCCTCTGAAGTCAGTGTGGTGTTTACATTTAAGATTGTCTAAGCCCTTGGCACATAGAAGCTGATCAGTAAATACTGTTATTAGCTGCCATTGAGTTGGTTCAGTTCATGGGGCCCCATATGCTGAGTCCTGCCCTATCTTCATGATTGGTGTATGCTTGAGTAGATTTTTGCAGCCATTATGTGTTTTGAGTGCTACCAAGGCCTCACCCTCCAACCAACAGGGCTCACCTTCTGGCATTATAATGGACAACATTTGGTTGTGGTCCTTCATTTTCATTTTCAAAAGTAGATCACCAGGCCTTTCTCCTTAGTCTTACTTAGTCTGGAATTTTAAATACCCATTGCATAGCTTCCAGTATCATAGCAACATGCAAGTCAGCACAATACAACAAATGGACAGGGAGGTGGTGGCAATAAGTATTACACCTACTTCTCCTTATCGACAATCACTATCCAACATTTCATGTTTACAACAATAGTAAAAAAATCTACTATCCAACTCTGTT